CACTTTCGGGGGGATTTAAATATCCCCCCGATATATTTTTTTAGTTTTTAGATTTTTGTGCACCCCTGGGGACTGCCCCAAGAGTGCACAAAACTCTCCCTGCCCCCCAGGTCGCCCCGGAGCGCGGATTTAGCGATCCGCACAGACGGGGCGACTTGGGTATTAGATATATAGATCTTGCTAGGGCTTTGTCCTGTTTTCAGTGTCAAGATCCAGCTGAGACATCAACAGAATTGAGTGCCTCAGGATCCTGTTCAGAGCAGATTGAGCTGTTAGATAGTTCCCAGTGGCTCTTGATCCAAACTGTTTGGGAATCACTGCTTTACATTTGTCACAAATATTTAATTATGGTTGTGGACTTCTTGCACCAACTGTCTATGTAAATAGAGAGGTAAGTAGGTTAAATCTGAAAAGTGTTGGGATGCTGGTGTTTTAGGTTTTGTTTGTTTTTAAAAAATGCTACCTGGGGTTCAGCTTCCAAGTTTACTTTGTACGGATGGGGCTTGCCATCTTCAGTTACTTGTGGAGACCACAATTTAGTTTCTGCCCTGGAGGTAAGAAATGAAAAAATCATAAGAAATATCTCTGATCAGTGTGTTATACAATCCTAAATCCAGTATTTCCCCCCTCACTCCTTTAACAAAGCATGACAAATGTACCTTTAAAGATGTTGCAAATTAAAATTTATGTATTATAATCTTACATAGAAATGGGCAGTACTGAGTCAACAGATAAATAGAAAAGATGGAAAAGGAAAAAAATAGATTTCTGTCTAGTAACAGGGTTGCCAACTCCAGGTTGGGAAATACCTGGAAATTTTGGGGGTGGAGGCTGAGGAGGGTGGGGTTTGGGGAGGGGAGGGGAAGGCCTTCATGGGGGTGTAATGCCATAGAGTTCACTTTCCAAACTGGCCATTTTCTTCAGGTGAAGTGATCTCTGTCACTAAGAGATCAGCTGTAATAGTGGGAGACCTCCAGCCACAGTCTGGAGGTTGGCAACCATAATCTAGTAGGAATAATCCCAAATACTTAAACAGGAGCATTGTGGGACCCTACAAATTAACGATTTTTATTACATACATACTTGTAAGCTCTCATGGCCAAAGAAGTAATAACAGGAAGAACCATTAAGGTTTGGTGTTATAGTACAAGATTTTTTCCCACAATTTGAAATGGAAACACAGCAAATTGAGGGAATCGACATCTAAAAAACTAGCTGTCCTTAAGAAAGCATAGAACAGAATAGCACAAACATCTAATAGCAATGCCCTGCATCAAGGCAGGATTCTACCTTACATCACAGCTACGAGTAAGCCATTTTATTTTCAATCCCTTGGAGGATATCAGAAACAGTCCTATTGATTAATAGGACTATTCTGAAACAAACAGTTCACAGCAAGGGTAATCACCTGACATTCTTTGTCAGTAGACTTGGTATGCTGGAGGAGAGGACTGTCTATAGGCCTATTGTACAGTGATAGTACCAAAGACAGTCCATTATAGGCTTTGGGCAGGCCAGGTGGCTTTGATGGGATCATAGACCTCAGCTGCCCCTAGTTTAAAGACTGAAACAGATACAGAAGCAGTGAAGAGGGGGAGTGTCTAGAAGCAGTTCCAGACACTGCACATTTTCTCTGCAAGTTCTCTCCCCCCGCAACGCCCTTGATGCTGCCTGTGCAAATGTATACCCAAAGCAACTTAAAAAGCACCCCAAGGCACTAATAATCATAGGCTTTTGGAAGGGGTATACCAAGTCCTAACCTAAACAGTGCAAAACATTTATTCCATTACCCCATCAAAGATGACCCAAGTTTTTCAGACACAAGGCCCAAAAACCTGTATTGGCTCTACGACTAAGTGTAAACACTAACTTTACATTACATTTGTATAGGAAACATTAGTGTATAACTGCAGTCTAAACATATGGTAAAATTGTACCTTTCAATCTTCAGACAGAGCTGGTGCGATGCTGCTTTAATTCTCTCCTGTGCATCGTTGTGAGTCATGTTTTCTGTGCCATAGCCATCAATAGCAATAATGACATCACCAGGACACAAATTGGCTTGCGAAGCTTTGCTCCCTGGAGTAATCTGATAGAAAGAATTACATTAGAACTCTTTAATGTTTCAAGCCTGTGGTTCTCAAACTTTTTGCACTGGGGCCTACTTCTTTGGGAACCACTTTGTAAAGTAACTCCATACCACTTTCCATCTTCCCAACAAAGAATGCAAGAATCTCGTATCAGTTAACACTGAACATTTGAATTTTGCTCTTCATTTTGAATATTTATATATAGCAATATTGAAAAGAACTAAGCAAAACAAAGTTCCAGATACATCTGATTACAATACAAATTTAGGAAATCAACACTTGTGCAAATGTTCTCTAGTGCTCAGATTTGGCATACCACACATGTTCAGACTTGACCCTCAGATTTAGATATAGTCTTAGTCACCTGGTTTCTGCATTAGTTATCTTCCCTTTTCCGGTATGTCCACATTGCATACTCCCCCAATTCCCCCCCCCTCGCCTTGTGAGGCCCTCCTGTAAGACACCAGGGTCCCCCATGTCTGGTTAGGTGCAGAAATTGCCAGAATGACTTCAGCATCCTGGGAGTTTCTCTAGAATCAGTGGCTTCATGGCTGCCTTTCTCAGTAGGCCTGACAGTGAAGAGGCCACCAATGCTAGAGAAGCTGGCTAGGATGCACCTTGGCCAGACCTGGGAGGTCCAGAGGTCTAATGACAGTTTGCAAGACTGAGGTTGGAGTTGAGGCTGTTCAGGCTCCATTCAGTTCAAGGCACTGGGGACCACACAGGACATGCTGGACTCATTCTTGCAGGATGCAAGTAGGCTTACCCTCTAAGCTGAGTTAGTGTGAGCTAGCTTACAGTTTTTTAGCCCCTGGCTCACACAATTTTGTCTTAGCTCAGGAAGGATGGCTCCAGAGCAAACTAATTCATGTGGTGGCCAAATCACCTGCTCACAACTTTAATGCCAGTAGCTCACAAAGTAGAATTTTTGTTCACAGGGCTCCATAGCTTAGAGGGAGCATTGCTTACCAGGTATCCTGCTGTAGCAGGATGCTTCCTACAGTTTGGCTGCTCTCCCTGCCACTGCTCCACATGCAGTGGGGGGGAAATGGGGGGTGGGGCAAGAGTTGTTGCAGCAATGGTGCAGTATCACTTCCAGTGCAAACCTGGAATGGTGTCAACATGTTGGTGTGATGCTCTAGGACCCCCCAATGCCATCGAGTTTGGTGGAATCTTAGAGTGTTATGCTTGTATAGTGATGTCACTTCTGGGTGTGCACATGTCGCCATTGCCACAACATGATCCCCCCTGTCCCTTTCTTTTCTTCTGCTAGTTGCCAGCCAATGGTACCCCAGGGCAGTGTTTCCTCTAAGCTGAGTTAGTGTGAGCTGGCGCACAGTTTTCTGGCCTCTGGCTCACACTTTTTTGTCTCAGCTCAGGAAGGAGGGCTCCGGAGCAAACTAATTTATGCAGAAGCCAAATCGCTCGCTCACAACTTTAATGCCAGTAGCTCACAAAGTAGAACTTTTGCTCACAAGCCTCCACAGCTTAGAGGGAGCATGGCCCCAGGGTCAAGATATATACCTCTGAAACAGCCCCTCAGAGGAGGAGGAGGAGGAGGAAGAAGAAGGAAGGAGCAAAATGCAGCAGCTTACAGTATGAGGAGATTTGCTTTGAAATGTTCATTAATCTCACAGACTTTCACCTAAACTCCTACACAAATAATTGTGCTAACTAGCCCTTGCTTTATGGGATGTACATTGATGTCAATAAGTCTTTCATATAATAAGTTTAAAAACAAGGAACTAGGATGTGGACTTCTCTCTTCTCAAACAGAATGTGTAGATTGACTACCTATATTGGAATGAATGGTGAAGCGTGTCTGAGTAGTGGACTTCCAAATGTGCATCAGAGTCATTGTGCCCGCCAACAGATTGCTGGGTTACAGTATTATATGTTGTTGTTGTTCAGTCACGCAGTCGAGTCCGACTCTTCGCGGCCCCATGGACCACATCACGCCAGGCCCTCCTGTCTTCCATCGTGCTCCAGAGTTTGCTTAATTTCATGTCCGTTGCCTCGATAACACTGTCTAACCATCTCATCCTTTGCCATTCCCTTCTTCTTCAGTCTTTCCCAGGATTATATAGAGCAGACTAAATTTTGTTGCTTTCAACAGCAGTTATTTCCACATAATATTCAGGATTGTGGCAAAACTGGTTTAAATCCAAGCTTGTGGCTTTAAATAATCCATGAAACCTGTTGACAGGCATTTAAGTATTATGTTCTAAATCTGTTTCGTGCTTGCTAATGTTTTAGAAGGATACTGAGCTCAAATCGCATTCTGTTCTACAGCCTGAAATCACTTGCATGTAAAAACAGAAGAAATTATATGAATGCAATCCACAGGGGAAAACATTGGTTTTGTTTTTGTTTTTTAAAGAATTAGCCCAACACTGATGAGGGCTAGAGGCATTTGTTCCTCATACATTTTTATATGCTGTGTTAGGAGCTTCTGTCCCACAGTATGATTTATACAGAATCCTAAATGCTCACAGCAGCAACAGTCAGCATGTTGTGTTAGCATAACATCTGTACAAATGCTGACACAATGTTGCCATTAGTTGAACTGGGATGCTGACACAACAGTTGAGCAAGAGCAGCTCATACACTGCATGGAGAAATCATGCAGGTAGATCACCACATGTATACTTAGTTTTGCTAGCATCTCCTTAGTTTTGCTAGCATCTCCAGTTAAAGGAACTTAAAGAGTACAGCTAGGAAAGGCCTTTCTGAAGGAAAGTAATGTGGCTTGCAAAGGCTGTACACCTAACCATGCCTGCCCCTGTAAAGGAAATTTGAGGAAGTGACGTCAGCATGTTGGTGACGTCAGGGGAGGTGACACTCTGCTTTTTTGGCAAAACTCTATGGTCTGAGGTACCTTTAACCATAGTTTTGCCCAAAAAGCAGAGTGTCAGCCCTAACATCACTGATGTGCTGATGTCACTTAAATTCCGGGTGACATCAGTACATCGTGCGACACCCTACCCACTCCCGGAATGCCCCCCAAAGCTCCCTGCTGGCAAGATGGAGTGACCTGGCAACTCTAATCATAGAGGCACACCTTTTCTTCACACTGCTTTCTGCACTGCACCCTTCCCTTTTCAGTCTGTATCTACACCCCCTCAGAGTTCCCCTACCCAAAAGAAAACCTTTTTAAGAATTCAAGGAATCTTTTTTGTAGTCTTCATTTGTAATCTCCATTCTACCAGACACACATTGAAATAGGTCTGCAACAACGTCTGGTAGATAGCATTATCTATAGCTTTGTTTGAGTAAATGCAGAGTTTTCCAGGAAACTGTGAACACTATCTTCTCTCTAGAACCTTTTATATTTCAAATTATTAAAATGGTTTCCAAAAAGCCTGTGGTTTAACCACACACCAACAAAATCAAGGTACCATCTCATTCTTTTCATTTTTCTGTCATTTCAAATATGATTTTTCACTGCTATAGAGGGAAAAATCGGTGGGAGGAGGTTTCTGTAATATACTTTCTGTAAATGCACTACATAGCATGGGGAAGTATTACATGGCTCAGCCATTTTCAGATTGCATGCGGGGAAGGACATGATCAAATGTTCCCTGCTAGAAATACTCTTCATATGGAAAGCTAACATGAGAGGAAGGGATTCTAGCCAGCCCTTCTTACCAATGGCTCGGCCTCAAATGTAGGGGTACACGGCAAGGCTGCCCACTCGCGCCTATTTTATTTGCGTTAGCTATGGAGCCCCTAGCCTGGGCCATATGAAATAATTCGGAAATACATGGCGTCACCATCAACCAGAATGAATTCAACTTAGTATGTTTGTGGATGACATCATTTTATACCTGACAACGCCTGAATCATCTCTATTGGCGCTCCAACAAACTTTGGACACATTCAACACTGTAGCAGGTTTAAAAGTCAATCACAAGAAATCGATCCTATACCCCATTAATGTGACGTCAAACATGAAGAAGAGAATTCAGCGAAACTACACCTACCAATGGTCACAAAACTACTTCTCATACCTTGGTATAAAGATCCCCTTAGACATGGCTAATATTGTGAAAGTCAACTACTCTGGAAAAAAAAGAAGGTCCACTTCTCATGTGATTACTGAGGGTAGATCACGCCCACCAGGAATAAGAACTAGCAGGATTACTAATGCATGGATCTCATGATCTAAAATGATGCCTATATGTACAATTCAAGTGAGAGCCATATCAGGACATCAGCTATTAGCAGAAAAGTCAAAGCCATGACACTCTCACACTCCTGTTTGCTTTAAGAGTATCGGAGTAAGATTCTGCTGACACTTGCTGCTTACAAAAAGCCCATACACCTGAAGGACATTCAAAACTGGACATCCATATCCAGGGAATCACCAAGTTTGATTAGCTAATGTTTCGTTCACAAGGCAACTGTAATGGCACAGGGAGACAGAAGATTGAGAGCAGGAAAACTCGGGGCGGGGGCCCTAATCCCTTATCTCTGTACCATGTCTCCATCTGGATCTCCAAAAATTATCTCTGGTTTGGGCCAGAAAAGTTTTACAAAGGTTCATTTCAATTAACAGCACCATGGAAAGTACAAGGAGACAACGTTATAGACTCTAACTGTTCTACTTCTCTAATAAGGTAACAGTAAAACTTTCCCTTGCTCGAGAGCTAGTCGAATCTGACTCTAGGGGGCAGTACTCATCTACATTTCCAAGCCAAAGAACTAGCGCTGTCCGAAGACATTTCTGTGGTCATGTGGCTGGCATGACTAAATGCCAAGGCACACGGAACGCTGTTACCTTCCCACCGAAGCGGTACCTATTTATCTACTTGCAAATTCTTGTTTTCGAACAGCTAAGTTGGCAGAAGCTGGAACCAGAGACGGGAGCTCCCTCCATCATGCGGCACCCGGGTCTCGAACTGCCGAACTACAGACCTTCTGGTCTGCAGCTCAACGTCTTAACTTCTCAGCCACCGCCGCCCCTTACGTCTCTAATAGTCACCCCAAATTCCTGACA